TAGTCGTACACGTATCGACGAGGTACTTAACATTTCGGTCTGTAGCCGTTCGAGCGTCCGTGTGGTCTTGCCGGTGGGGTACTTGGCGCTTGCGGTCCAACTCCGAGGTCATAGCCGTGTAGTCGAACTTGACGGAAAACGGGTCTCGCTGGGGACTTGGCGCATCCATCCAGAACTTGTGGTACTTGGCGAAAACGACGGGAGGCGGGCAGTGAACAACAAAACGAAGTTCAGGTGTCGCGGTGGTCTTGGCGTCCAGCGACAGCAGCAGGCATCGCAGACACCGGGCACGGTCGCCTGTAGATGGACGGAGACGCAGCAGCAAAAGAAAAACAGCAGCAGCTCCCGAAACTTGACAGCGTGTGGAAGGGGGAGGTCGAGGACGCAGGCGGGGCAGCGGTGCTGGCGACGGTCGAGGATGACGCCTCCGGTCAGCGAAGCACGAGTGCGGGGGAGGCAGAGTTCCTGCTCGGGGAGGCGCAGGTGAGGGTCGCCGTGGTGCTCTGCTGCAGGGTGCCATGGCGGGGAGGCGACGAAGAGGATGGAGCTCTGGGCGCAGGAGGATGGCCAGGGTGCACGGAGCGGCAACGGTCGCCGGAGCTTGAGGGCGCGGGGCCGCGACGTTCGCGATGGCGGCGGTAGGCCTGGTCGAGGGAGAGATGGGGGTCGAGGACGAGGGGGACTTGGGGCGCCGGCGGCGGCCTCGGGAAGGAGGAGGGACTTGGCGTGGCGGAGAGCAGGGAAAAGAGACGAGGGAGAGGACGAGGGGATCGGGGAGAGAAGACGAGGTGGGAGGCGGCGCTGGATGAGGACGAGAGGTAGAGAAGATGGGCTCTCTCCCTGCGCTAGGGTTAGCTGGGGAGTGGGCCTTGGGAGGCCGGCCCAATGGAGAGGAAAACGTCCAGGGGCCTGCTGGGCTGCTCTCTCTCCTACTCTCTTCCTCATTTCCTTTTATTTGCCAAAATAGCAAATAGCAAAGGCATAAATAAGAGATAGAAAAGGTTGGAGAAGGAATTTGGGCACTGGGATAATTTTCACGGACTCAGAAAAATGTGCACGGTCTGGGAAAATAGAAAAAGGTCAAGTTTGAAAGATTAAATTCAAATTCCTTTGAATTTAATTCAAAAGGTTTGAACTAGGATAGGTTTTTCGAAGTGCCCAAAAATGTTGAGAAATTAGGTGGAGCTCCGGAAAATGATGAAAGGACATGTGGCAAAGTTAGAGGCCAAGAGTTGAAATAATAAAAGGCATTGGGATTTTTGCAAGTGTGTTAAGGTAATTCCACATAATTGGAATAATTACTATAGCTCTCTAAATATAGAGAGGATAAGTTGTAAAGAGAATCACCATGTGAATTCCCTCAATTTAAATGGATCAAAGATCCATACCATTTGTTTAGTTGAGTTAAGAAAAATAAATGGCATGATGGCATGATGACAATGCATATGATGCAATGATGAATGCAAAGAACCAAACAAATCACACGACGAAACCTGGAAACCCTGGAAGGCAACTGAAGCTCCGGTCTTGGGGCGTTACAAATTTATTCTCACGGATAGTAGTGGGAGCAAACTCAACAAAATAACTATCATGGGATTGAAATTAAATCATGATGACAAGCTTCATGATTATCATTATTATTTATAGCATACATGTCATCACCATAATCATCATATATAAGAACTTTATGATCATAATCAATTGGAACCTCTTCCGAAATAGTGCATTCATCACTAAATAAAGTCATGACCTCTCCAAATCCACTTTCATAATTATTGCAATAAGATTCAACACCCTCAAAAATAGTGGGATCATTAGTACCTAGAGTTGACACTCTTCCAAACCCATTTTCATCAATATAATCATCATAAATAGGAGGCATGCTTTCATCATAATAAATTTTCTCATCAAAACTTGGGGGAGTAAAAATATCATCTTCATCAAATATAGCATCCCAAGCTTGTAGCTTTGCATATCATTAGCATCATGGATATTCAAAGAATTCATACTAAAAACATTGCAATCGTGCTCATCATTTAAATATTTTGCGCCAAACATTTTGTTGACTTCTTCTTCTAACAAGTGAGCACAATTTTCTGAACCATCATTTTCAAGAAAGATATTATAAAGATGATCAATAATATGATGCAACCTCAATTCTATTTTTTGTAGTTTTCTTTTATGAACCAAACTAGTGATAAAACAAGAGATTCAATTGCAAGATCTAAAGATATACCTTCAAACACTCACCTCTCTGGCAACGGCGCCAGAAAAGAGTTTGATGTCTACTACGCAACTTTATTCTTGTAGACACGTGTTGGGCCTCCAAGCGCAGAGTTTTGTAGGACAGTAGCAATTTTTCCTCAAGTGGATGACCTAAGGTTTATCAATCCGTGAGAGGTGTAGGATGAAGATGGTCTCTCTCAAACGACCCAGCAACCAAATACAAGAAATCTCTTGTGTCCCCAACACACCCAGTATAATGGCAAATTGTATAGGTGCACTAGTTTGGCTAAGAGATGGTGATAAAAGTGTAATATTGATGGTAGAAATATATTTTATAATCTGAATAAATAAAAACAGCAAGGTATCAAATAGTAAACAGGCACAAAAATGGTGTTTCAATGCTTAAAAACAAGGCCTAGGGTCCGTATTTTCACTAGTACAATTTCTCAATAGTGCTAACAGAGTTGGATCGACTATGCCCCAAAGTATAATCAAGAATCACTCCCGAGTTCCTATTAGCGGAGAACAAAAGATAGGAATTGTTTGTAGGGTACGAAACTACCTCAAAGCTATTCTTTCCGTTCGATCTATTCAAAAGTTCGTACTAAAATAACACAAAGCTATTGTTTCCTTTCGATTTATCCTAGAGTTCGTACTAGAGTAACACCAAAGCATATTCATATTCATCAAACTCAATCCACACAAAGAACTACTAAGAGTGCCCCAAGATTTCTACCAGAGAATAAGGACAAGAACGTGCATCAACCCCTATGCATAGATTACCCCAATATCACCGCAGAAAACGCAAGTTGAGTGCCAAAACATATATCAAGTGAATCGATACGATACCCCATTGTCAGCACGAGTATTCAATTGCAAGACATATATCAAGTGTTCTCAAATCCATAAATGTATTCAATTCGATAACAACGATATCTCAAAGGGAGAAACTCAATTCATCACAACAAGAGTATAGAGGGGAGAAACAACATATGTCCGACTATATTAATAAAGCCCATGATATAGGTCACGAGAGAGAGAGAGATAAAACACATAACTACAGGTACAAACCCTCAGTCCCGAGGGTGGACTATTCCCTCCTCATCGTGGTGGCCGCCGAGATGATGAAGATGGCCACCGAAGATGATTCCCCCCTCCTCCGGCAGGGTGCCGGAACGGGTCTAGATTGATTTTTGGTGGCTATGGAGCCCTGCGGCGGCGGAACTTCTGATTTAGGTTAACCCCGAAGGGTTTCGGAATATTTGGCAATTTATAGTGCAAAGAAGCTGTACGGGAGGCCACCGAGGTGGGCACAACCCATCTGGGCGCGCCAGGGGGGCCTGGTGCGCCCTGGTGGGTTGTGCCCCCTCAAGGCACCCCCAGGTGCAGCTCTGGCCCATTGGGTTCCTTCTGGTTCAACAAAATCTCCAAAAAGTTTCACGATGTTTGGACTCTGTTTGATATTGATTTCCTGCGATGTAAAAAACAAGCAAAAAACAGCAACTGGCACTGGGCACTGGGTCAATAGGTTAGTCCCAAAAAATGATATAAAGTTGCTATAAAATGATTGTAAAACACCCAAGAATGATAAAATAATAGCATGAATACTTTATAAATTATAGATACGTTGGAGACGTATCACTAGGTATGCACTAACGTGGTACTAGGCGATGCCGGCAAAAGGGGGAAACATCCGGGAAAGTATCCCCAGTGTTTTGCATTTTCGGATAGAGAAACTGAAGGGGGAAAGTTGTGTGTTCGCTATGCGGGGAATGTCTGGCGGACGAACGAGCTACACATCCGGATTTTTTTCATCGTTCTGAGCAACTTTCATGTATAAAGTATTTTCATACGAGATACAATTTATTTTCTATTAATTGTAAAAGTTTTAATTCATTTTTAGAATTAACAGAATTAATTTAATTAGAAAATGTAATTATGATGTCAGCGTGAGGTCATCATGATGTCAGCAATCAACAGTGCGTTTGGCTAGGTCAACAGATGCGTGGGTCCCGTTTGTCAAGGTCACAGATTAGCTAAAGAGAGTTAATTAGTTTTAACTAAGTGTTCAGGTTAATTAATTTATTATTTATATATATTTTTTGATCTTATCTCCAGGGCGTGGGGCTCCTTTGCCATAGGCCCAGAGGCCAAATAGGGCGGGCTACCAGGCGCGGGCGAGAGCACCCGCCGTGCGCCCCGGCTAGAAGAGCCCGAGGGAAAGGGGGCGCGCGGGCGCTGTGGTCCGGCGCCGGCGGCTATGGCCCCTGCTGGTCCAGCAGCAGCAAGGGATGGCGAGCGGGGCGAGCAGGGGCTGCCGGGGAGGCGTAATCGGCGCGGCACGGCAGGGCGTGGGGGGAGGGAGCGATGCAGCTGTGGCAGGGGGGAGGCAGGGGCGAGGCCAAGTGAGGGTGCGGCGAGGGAAGTAGGGGGCGGCGCCGCCGCGAGTGGGCAGCAGCAGCAACACGGGCCGCGGGCAGACAGGACAATAGGCGAGCTCCGGCGGGCGTGAGGGTGCAGCAGTAGTAGAGAGCAGCAGCTGCAGTGCTGGAAGCAGAGTAGCAGCAAGAAGTAGTAGAGGATGGCCGGGAGCAGCGGCAGTAGTCGGAGAAGAGCAAGCGGGCGCGGGGCGAGCAGCCGGCGAGCACACGGGCAACACTGGGGGCGGCCAAGGGCGAGCCCCGTGTGTGGGAGTGCGGCCGGACTAGCAGGGGGCGGCGAGCATGGGGCGGACGTGCACATGAGCTCGGGTGCGGCAAGAGTGAGGTCCGGCCATGGCGGTGGGGGTGCAACATACGGTGATGGATCGATGGAGTAAGGGCCGGGAATCGGAGGAGGGACTCACAGTGGAGGTTGGTTGCGTGCTCGGGGAGGCCGGGGTGGACGAGGTGACGCAGATCGATGGCGGCGGACGGCACGACACCGAGGTTGAATACGACCAACGCAGCGACGGCGATGCGGCATGTTGGCCTCGATCCAACAACGAAGATGACGAAGACAATAATGAGGAGGCTTCTCTACAGCGTATCACGCGCCTGGGAGCACGATAGCCATGCGGTTGAGCTCGGCCATGGCGACGACGTACTCGGGCGCAAGCAAAACGGTGATAGCGAGCGAGGGTGTGGGGGAACTTGGGGGTAGGGTTTCTCAGGGTCAACGGCGTCGCTTTTATCTGTCAGGGGGTGCCGGGGATGGCCGGCACGTGGCCAGGGCACCATGGATGCCCGCCACGGCTCCTCTGCTCCTGTAACTAGAGGTGGAAGGATATGTGAGCTGGGTTGGGCTGGCTATTGTTGCTAGATGGGCCAAGGTGTAAAGTGCCACTAGAGCCCACTAATACAGTAGTAGTTAGGCCCTTTTCTGTTATACTTTGATGTTTCTTATTTTCTTTACTATTTTGCATTCTTTTATAAACTAAAGGAATTTAGTTGAGCACAAAATATGGCACACCTATACTAGGCAGTGCGCTGAGCTAGACCTCCAAGTTACAATTTATTTTGAATACTCTAAATATTTGTTTAATATTTAAAAGCATTTAAATAATTGTTTTGCCGCGGTTTTATCTATTATCGTGCATTTAAATATTTTATTTAAATATGGGTTCTTCACCATAACTACCTACGCAATATTTGTCACAACCCAGACATTTTAGTTTTAACATTTCAAAACTTTTGTTGTTTGCCTTGATTTTGAATTTGAATTTGAATTTGAATTGGTTTGAACCAAGGTGAGATTAGCAATAGTAATGACGATGACCTAGCACCATTAACATGGAATTACTATAGCTTAATTATCGGGTGTTACATCTAACTTACCCCAGTTGTCGTATAGGCTATGAATGAAACATAAGACAATGAACTTCTTAAGCACGGAAAAAACAGAAGAGGATGATCTTCTTAACATGCAAATCACAGGCATTAGATCAACATGAAAAACAATATGAAGCGTTATTCTCAGGAGGCACGGTCAACAGCTCGTGATGCCGCATACCACAACATTCCAAGCTCAACTTTGCAATCAAACTCACAAGGCCTAGCATTACATAGACACCATTCAGAACAAACTCTTAAAGTACCTTACATAAGTCAACATTCATGTGACTATGCATCTCAGCAGAGTAAAAATTTACTTTTGAACTGAAGACAGGTATAGGAAAAAAGACCGACGTTGCTCATCGCAAAGGGCATCCCACTAAAAAATATCAAATGCATGTCTTCTGGCTAACATCAATGAGCAAAATATGACAAGGTTTTCCAATTCCAATATATTAAACTAATTTTTCTTGCTAACATCAATGATTAAACTTTGACAAGCTTTTCCCATTCAAAATATGAAATGCCTATGATTGTGGAACAGGCAGGATTTGTCATCAATTTTTCATCTGATAGTCGGGTGGCTCAAGGTGACGACGAATGATTAGAGAACTATTCGATGTATTGTGAATGATGAAGTATTATGGAGGAAACGAACCATTTGAACATTTTGTGCAGTTCCACTAAAATCAAGCTGAGCATCCCTATGGATTTCGTATTTATATGCTGCAAGAAAACAAAGACACATCAGCACACAAATGAATATTAGCCCCAGTGCCAACCCACCAATCGGTGGACTAACAAACTGAAAGTACGGTAAACAGATTACCATACCCAGATGCCCCATCATTGTTGCTTAGAGTGACATTGACAGACTTGGAGTCCTGTCCTGGCTTCTTGTACTTGTTTGCCCAGTGTTCCTCCGAACCACAAGTAAAGCAGTCAATCTCTCTTTTTGTCTTTCTTCTTACCCTTCTTAATGGCCGACGTTGGCAACTCCATTCAAACAGATAGTCTGATGGCTCAAGGTGATGAAGAATGATTAGAGAACCATTCGGTGTATTGTGCATGATGAAGTATTATGGAGGACACGAATCATCTGAACATTTTGTGCAGTTCCACTAAAATCAAGCTCAACATCCCCCTCTGCATAAATACAGAAAAAGTGTGATGAATATAATAGTGGTACTAGTTGATTAAACATACGCTTACAACAATAATCATCTTCATTATCTTTAACAGGAAAAGATAGCAATGCAATAGCTTGAATTAAACATTTATTCAAAACAATACAACAATATAAGTGGCACAACATAACAAAACACAATCATGTGGATGAAGGCCGATACTGACCTCATTTGTTACAGATGCGTCGGCAACTAACTTGGTCATACCTTTCCTTGTGGAGTGAATTTTGCACTCCATGTTTGTTAAGTTGCCCATGCTCTCTGGAGACTAGTCATGTCACCAGCGTCTACTAATACTCTGTAAAGCTTCTCGATCATTCCTTGTGTAATGTAGCGCAAACAGTGACTGTTTCTTTCTACAAAGTGGTAAGACACCCACTAATGCAGCAGTTTGCCTTAGACACATTGGCTTATTTTGTGCAGTTCAACTAAAATCAAAGTCGAAATAAAACCGAGCAGAAATTTTGATATCCCTGTAAGCAACAATAAGTACAAGGGAAACAATTACTGAGAAATAATGGTTGATGACTTGTACTCCCAGAAGAAAAGCATCTACTGATCTACCTTATCTTAATGGGAAACAAAGCAGGAGAGTAGCAAATCTCAATCAGTGCGATTCATTCATATTAACTAAGACATTATCTTAACAACGCCTTGTTTCAACATGTATAAAGAAAGATAAAGCAGAAAAGTACCATTCCTAAAACAATGCGACTGATTCATATTAACAGAGACATTATCTTAACAATACCTTGGTTAAACATGTAGAAAGAACTACAAAGCAGGATAGTACCATTTGTAACACATTGTAACTGATATACAATAAAAGAGAAATTATCTCAACAATACATTTCTTAAACAAGTACCCCGGCTAATCCCTAACAGAAATGGTACTCCCACCGATCCCTAACAAGTGTTGAAGTTTTGAACTATGATTCAGTAGTTAATTCTGAGAGTGGCATTGCTTAATATTACCAGTGGCATCAGATAAACAAAAAGCATAAACAGTTCCAGGGGAGAGTGGGCGCAACAACACCATGTGCTTCCATCTACTTATAAAGGGGGTGATGTAGAGTTTTGTTGTAGCAAGGAAACAAGCATCATGTCTGGGTTGGAACAATTTTTGCTCACTTAATTGTAAAAGACAGCAGTTCAATAGATTCAATTCAACATTTATCCAAAATAGTACTAATGCAAGTAGCACAACATCTCAAAGCACACTGCAGCATCATGTGGATGAAAGTCGGTACAGACCTTTCTTGACCGAGATTTGAAACAACTCACGAGGAGGATTTGAATGAAATCTCAACACATATATGGAAATCCGATCTCCTTTTGTGTAGTTCCACCAAAATTAAGCAAAGTCACCGGTGTGACATTCAAGTTGAACTGCACAAAACACTCTTAAAACAAAAGTGTTTCGCATAGCGAAGCAAAATGTCGCAATAGCAACAAGTCGAATAGATATCCCTGTTTTAACACAGGCAAAAAAGGAATCAATTACCGGCCAACAAAGGAGGATGGAACATGCGGCCACAAAAATGGTACTCCCGCTGATCCCTAACAAGTGTTGCAGTTTTGAACTAAGATTCAGTAGTTAATTCTGAGAGTGGCATTGCTTAATTTACCAGCAGCATTAGATTAACAAAAAGGATAAACAGATCCAGGGAGAGTGGGTGCAACAACACCATGTGCTTCCATCTACTTATAAAGGGGATGATGCAGAGTTTGTTGTAACGAAGCAACAAGCATCATGTCTGGGTTGGTCCCATTTTTGTTCACTACTTAATGGGAAAAGAGAGCAATTCAACATTTATTTAAAACAGTACCAATACAAGTAGCACAACATCTCAATGCAAAATGCACAATCATGTGGATGAAGGCCTGTACTGACCTTTCATGAGACAAACAAGATAAAATACGAATCTACCAACATGAATAGGAAATCCAATCTTGTTTTGTGCAGTTGCACTGAAATCAAGCAAAGTTGCCGGTGTGACATTTAAGTTCTCCATACCAACAAGTTGAATAGATATCCCTGTTTTAACAGAGGCAAAAAAGGAATCAATTACTGGCCAATAAAGGAGGATGACATATGCGGCCACAAAAATGGTACTCCCGCCGATCCCTAACAAGTGTTGCAGTTTTGAACTAAGATTCAATATTTAATTATGAGAGTGGCATTGCTTAATTTTATCAGCGGCATTAGATTAACAAAAAGCATAAACAGATCCAGGGGAGAGTGGGTGCAACAACACCATGTGCTTCCATCTACTTATAAAGGGGGTGATGTAGAGTTTGTTGTAACAAAGCAACAATCATCATGTGTGGGTTGGTCCCATTTTTGTTCACTACTTAATGGGAAAAGAGAGCAATTCAACATTCACTTAAAACAGTACCAATACAAGTAGCACTACATCTCAAAGGACACTGCACAATCATGTGGATGAAGGCCTGTACCGACCTTTCACGAGACACACAAGATAAAATACGAATCTACCAACACGAATAGGAAATCCAATCTCGTTTTGTGCAGTTGCACTGAAATCAAGCAAAGTTGTCGGGTGTGACATTTAAGCCCGCTGTAGCAACAAGTTGAATAGATATTCCTGTTTTAACAGAGGCAAAAAAGGAATCAATTACTGGCCAATAAAGGAGGACGAAACATGCAGCCACAAAAATGGTACTCCTGCCGATCCCTAACAAGTGTTGCAGTTTTGAACTAAGATTCAATAGTTAATTCTGAGAGTGGCATTGCTTAATTTTACCAGCGGCATTAGATTAACAAAAAGGATAAACAGATCCAGGGAGAGTGGGTGCAACAACACCATGTGCTTCCATCTACTTATAAAGGGGATGATGCAGAGTTTGTTGTAACGAAGCAACAAGCATCATGTCTGGGTTGGTCCCATTTTTGTTCACTACTTAATGGGAAAAGAGAGCAATTCAACATTTATTTAAAACAGTACCAATACAAGTAGCACAACATCTCAATGCAAAATGCACAATCATGTGGATGAAGGCCTGTACTGACCTTTCATGAGACAAACA